CCGCCGAAGCCTGGCAGAGTCTGCCAGGGATGGCTGCCTGCTGCTGCCCAGCCTTACTTGCCTGCGGTTTCTGGGCAGGTTGGGGAGGTGATGGGTTTCAGCTGCCCAGCTGCAGCTCCCCGCCGCGGTCAAACCGGCCTCACCTCCCTGCAGAGGCTCCCAGGGCGGATGGCAGCTCTGCTCGCAGCAGCATTTCCAAGCCAACAGCTCTTTCTTCTCCACTCTTGTTTCAGCTGAGGCTGCAGGGCAGCGAGAGGAGGAGGAGGCAGGAGTCGGGAGAGGAGGCTGAGTCCAGCCCAGGGGCTCAGCAGGGAGGGAGCAGAGCTCACTCACCAGCTAAAGCCCAGCTGGGGATGGGGAGGGGGAGCAGAAACCCCAGACATCCCCTCCAAGCACACCTGACCCCCTGAGCAAGGCTGCACAGAGCAGCAGCCTCCCAATAACTGGGTCCCCTCTGCACCCACCTCCGCCCCATGCCTGCAGAGGCCCAGGCAGCTGGGTGCTCCTGCGCAGGAGGGCACCTCTGCCTGCATCTGGCACGGGCCGCCCTCCCTCCGGCTGAGCACAAAGCCTTCTCCTGCCCTGGCACAGGCATTAGGCAACCCCTAAGCCAGGGGCCACAGCAGAGCCCAACCCTGGCACAATGCACAGGAAAGGGGAAGGTCCCTCGTGGCACCGTGGGAGGACAGGGTGCCCTGTCCCATCCCTGCTGAGCAGGGGGATGACCAGTAAAGGACTTGCCTTGACAAGTGTCCCAGTGCCCAGCTGTGGGAGCCGGAACGCCCTCGTGCCTGGCCCTTCCTGCAGTGCAGTCGAGCCTCTGCAGAGGAATTTGCAGGCTCCACCCAGGACCAGGGTAGCTCCAGCTCCTGCTTTGACCCTGGAGTGGACTTCAGCTGGATAAACATGACAACTCCACCCACCCCAGGCCCTGCCATCCTCCTTGTCACCCATCACTCCCACCAGCCAGACTCGGACCCACCCCAGCACCTCCTGCCTTGTTGACTCATGAGTGATGTGGGGACACAGCCAGCACCCAGGGCACAAACTACAACAGCCAAATCCACTCAGTTTACCCCTCCCAGAGCCCCAGGCCACTCTCCCGCAGGGGCATCACTGCCAGCGGGGCTGATGGGCAAAGAACCACACTAGGAACTGCCTGCAAAGGTGCCCAGGCTTTAGTGAAGTTGGCCTGAAATGGGACTTTGCATTTTTCATGTACACAAATCCTTAAGACCCAGCCAGAGCAGAGGAGGCTGAATCTTAAAACCCAGGAGCCTAAGGCCAGGGCCGGGCTCAGACAAACCTCCCGACCCCACGGGGCTACCAAACCCCCACCTTGTTCCCCAGCAGCCTGACACAAGGCGGGGGTGAGCAAAAGACCAAGAGCTGCTGCAAGATGTGCAGGGAGTGCTCCAAGGGAAGAGGTGAGGGAGAGCAGGGGCTCTTCTGTGCCTCCTGCGCTGCAGGGGGAACACAGGCTTTGTGCCCTCACGGCAGTAGACACCCCCACCCCACCCCCCCCAGCACAAAAGCCATGAACAGGTCCAGTAGGCGGTGGCCTTTCTAACAAGCTTTAATGGTGACTGAGGAGAGGAGAGGCAGCGCTGCGGTCCCCGGGCTGCAGTGGGTCCCACGCCGTGCACCGAGCTCCCTCTGCCGCCAGCCTGGAGCCCATCCCCACAAAGCTCCTGGAGCAGAGGGAGGCCACCGTCGGGACGCTGAGTGTCCAGAGGCACCTGATGGTGCTGGGGGATTGCTGCCCACCTCCACAGGGTTTATGGGGGGGGAGTATGGAGGGCCAGGAGGTGCAAGCAGCCTGCAGCCACTCCACAGCAGCCCTGGGCGTACTGAACTGTGCAGTGCTCAGGCATGGAAGGTTGTTCTTCAAGGGGTGTGAGGCACCTCCGGGAATGCAGTGTGGCACCCATAGCCCATGGCATGGAAAAGCAAGGGCAGACAGGAGCTAGGAAGAGACTCATGTCCCTCCTTCCTCTCCAAACTGAAAGCAAAACATCCCCTCCAACACCCACCAGGTCCACGTGTGCAGAACTGGCTTTCAGCACGGCCGCCAGCCGGCAGAGACAAGGAGCCAGACTGGTGTCCCCAGAGCACCCTCACAGGGCCAGGTGGCAGAGGCGCATGGGCTCCATGTTGTCCCTCCCATCGCTGAAGCAAGTACTGAAGAAGGGGCAGTATCTCTCTGCAGAGACCTGGTGGAAGGTGAAGAGGTGGGACATGTCCCCAGCATCAAAGAAGGTGACAGTGCCCTCCTGGCAGTCCAGGAACACCCCCACTTTCCGGGGAGGCCGACGGGGAGTCAGGCGCACCCAGGGGGTGGTGGTGGCCCAGTACTCCGTCTTGTTCCGCAGGCGAAGCGTCCAGTAGCCATTCTCTGGGCACAGCTTCACCTTTGCTGCCCGGTCCACAGCTTCAGCAGCCACCCCCAGGTCCCATTTGGTTTTGCTGCCCACCCAGACCTCCCAGTAGTGCCGGCCGCTGTCGAAGGTCTGAGAGCCCAGGACGTTGACGCACTGACGGAAGCGCCGAGGGCTGCTGGGGACAAGCTGGGCTCGATTCCTCTCTGTGACTGCTGTCAGGTCTCTGGAGAAGACCAGGTTGGGGTGGGCTGACTCCGGGTCGAAGGTAAGTGGGGCAGGAGCTGCGGAGACATCGAGTATGGCATTTTACTGGTTGCACATTCCCTCCACAGAGAACCTCTGGCCCCGCCACCATGCAGCACATCCCTCCCTCACACCGATCCGCTCACCGGGGCAGATGGACCGCAGCATCTGTCTCCAGAAGATGTACTGCAAGGGGCCGCTGCGGCTGTCCCTGTAGCGCTCCAGGTCGAAGGCAGGCTGGGTCTCGACATGCACCGAGGGCCTGGGGCAGAGAGCATGGCAGTCAACCCCTCTGCCGTGCCACTAGTGAGGCACGGGGGCAGCGTGCGGTCAGGAGGGTGTGACCGACGCGGTAAAGATGGGGCACAACCCTCCCCGGCAGCTGCTCGCTCTGCCCGACGCGGCACTGCCCCCGGGGCAGCAAACGCCCCAGGGCAGAGGTGTGGTGGGCCCAGACAGCTCCGGCAGCACCAGCACCCAGCACCCCCACACAGGACTCGTGCATGGGCGAACAGGCCACGCCTGCGGAGCTGGGCTGCGTCCCCCTGCAGCCCCCAGGGAGGGAGGGGACAGGGACACGCTTCCCTATGGCAGTTCTGCCCCTCAGCTACTTGCAGCCTCAAACCAGCACCTCAGGAGCAGTTTGGCAGCTCCCTGAGTCTAACAAGTTAAGAAAGGGCAGGGAGAAGCCAAAGCACCCCAAGTCTGTGGCATCGGCCTTGCTCCCGCTTGCAGCACGCGTGGCGCTCGCACCCATTCCCAAACCAGCACGTCTCCTCCACCCGCTCCTCCAGCCCGGCCGTCTCGACACGCACGCTCCCTGGGGAGAGCATCCAACATGTGCTGGGGACCAGCTCCCACCTAGCGCAGCACCAGCAGCTCGCTGAGCAATTTGTGATGCTTTTAAAACTTGAGATAAGATCCCTCCCCCCATGTGGTCCCAGCCAGGGACAGAGATAAGCTCCTGAAAAGGGAATCAGCTTCTTTCATGCCAGACACGTACCTGATATCCAGGCTCTCCACCTGCAGTGAGGAGCAGAGAGAATCAGCAGTCACTGTCTGTAATTCATGCAGCTGCACAAATAAGCTCCCTGTCCTGCCTCCTGCTGTCACACAGCACAGAGAGAGGAAACCAACCTGCCAGGACCCCCACCCTGGGGGAAACTGCCTGGGCACTGTGGCTAAGGCAATTTCACAGGGGTGACGGAGAAGGAGGAAGGCTCCTGAGACCCACCACATCGGAGAGACCACCATACCCCTTGTGGCTAAAACCTCCAGACTCCCAGGGAACGGGCAGATAATCCAGAGGGACAGCAGTGAGAGCGCCAGCCTGGTGCTGTCAAGTTAGGACTCTCCCCATCCCAAATTCAGACCCTGAAACGTCCCTCAGCCTCCTGCCAGGGGCAGCCAAGCATGCTCACCTCCAGCAATGACACTTCTTCCACCTTGCTCAGGGTCTGCTCTATGCGCTCTATGTCCCTCTGCAGGACCGACATCCCCTCCTCCAGCCGGTGGACGTCCCCGTGCAGCCGTGCCAGCGACTGCTCTTCCTTTTCACCCAGCTCTGCCAGCACAGCTCTCTCCTCTTCCTCCAGGATCTGATGAAGGCGGGCAAACTCTGCCCGGATCTTGAAGTTCAGCTCCCCAGACACTTTCTGAGCAGAGGGAAAAGGCAGAAGGTGAGTCCGGGAGCTAAAACACACAAGTAGGTGCACAGGATGGCTGGGCCCATTACTCTGCTTACAGAGTCCTGGAAACTAGAAAGTCAGACATATCCACGACTTTTTGGATAGAGAACAGGACACAAGGACAAACTTCAAGGCTATAGAGCCGAAGGGGGAAAAAAAAACCCACTCAAACAAAAACTCTACCAATGGCTCAGTCGCTTTAACTAGAAATCCTTGCACACAGCCACAGGGTGAGCCCACAGCCCTCTCCCACATCACCAGGAATGTGCCTGTGTGCAAGACGGGCGCTCTTTGGCTTTCCTGGAGCTGCAGACTCAGCCATTCAGATTAGTCAGGATTTGTTTCACACCGTGCCAGACCCCGCGCAGAGCTGCCCGACACTGGTAACTTGCTCTTTTTCTCCGATGCCTCCGTCTCTTCTCAGGGCTCCTGTTTGCACAGGAGAGATGGGGGAGCTGCACAAACTCACGTCTGCTCTTCTCAGAGGTCACGTTTTTCCAGCCGTTTAGTCGGCCAGCCAACCTTGTGGTGCTCTCGCTGCCCTCCTGCCTGTTTAAAACAGCCAGCCAATGACTTTTTATTTTCCCAATCTTTAAGCTTTTAATCTCTAAGTGCAACCTTAGCCCTCATTGAGGACTGTTTCCCAAAACACACATCCCTTTCTACCAGCAAGAAACCCATCTCCCCCAGAACACCTCTGAAGTTTCCCCAGCCAGCACGGCACCCCAGCTTCCCCTTGCTCTAGCAGGTGCTTGCGCTGACACGCCAGGACTGCAGAGGCTGTGCGTGGCCCTGGTCAGATCAGCAATTTGCTCCTTTACTCTTGAAACGCCTCTTTGTCAGCTCTTTCACTGCCACGGGACATCACCTGCATGTGCTTACTTGCTGATACTTCTTCACTAACCTCAAAGGTCTATTCCAAAGCCATCAGTGGTACAGAGGTATGAAACACTGCAGGCAGGGGGATCAGAGATGCCAGTTGGAAGGCAGTGTCCCATCAGTTTTATCCCACTTCTCAACGACTTCCATTTTCATTAAACTCTCCTTCCTTGGCTTTTAACACTTTTTTGTCACTCAAGGAGGAAGCACAGTCAGCCTGCGGCTGTTCTTGCTTCGCTGATCAGTGACTAGTAGGAAGCCTGGAGCCACTCGATCCCGTGGAGAGCACTCAGGCGCCTCACATCATCTCAGAGCCTCGCAGTGAATCCAAATACAGTCCTTGTGACAAGGCCACTGCTCCCCGCAGCGCCAACGCTTCCGCTGACCCAGCTCCTTCAGCCTGGCTGCCGCCCCTTCAGACACGCAAGAGGACTTTGGAGCTTCCAAGAATTAACCCTCTCCCAAAGTGGCAGCGCTGCAGGGTCAGACCAGCCTGCTCAGCTGACAGCTCTCACCACTCGCCCTGTCTCGGCCCTGCTGCACCAATGCCCCTTGCAAGAGCTGCATCAACGAGTGTTTAATGCCTCTTCCCAAAGCCTGATTATTCAGAAGTGATGGGCTTCCACACACAAAGGAGTTTGTTCAGATCCCTAGATTATTCACTTAGATTTTTACAGGAAGCTGAGCTAAATCTCAGCTGAACTGACCACAGATCCTCTAGGAACATTAACCCAGAGGCTGCACAAAAGGCAGCTATCAGGGCATTACCGTCAGGCCACAGATATCTTCCTGCGTCGCACGCTTCCTCCGCAAGAAGCTCTCCATCTCCCTCTGACGAGCTTGCAACGCATCTTCCAGGTGCTTCTGCAGGAACGAGGAAAAGAAGGTGAAGAGACCATTTCACGATTCAGGAGCAATCCCAGTTCCCGAGGCCAGCATTACAGAGAAGCTGCAACCAGGTTTCTTATCAAGGCAGTGAGGAGAAGAAAGCACCTGATGCACAGGCTTGAAAACTATATATGTGCGCACATAACGAAACAAATTCATTTTTAAGACTGGGAGCTCCAGCCTGGGATATCTGTTTGCAGAAGGTTTAAACCCTGTGTGATGTGACCTGACTTGTAGGGGACTGACCCTCAAGCAGCGCACCCGGCACAGGCAGCCCTCACCCCTGGCTGTATGGTCCCTACGTGAGAAACAACGAGGCTGCTGTGGAAGCGTGGCACAACAGTGTAGGAAACGAACGCAAGAGAAGAAAGTGTCCAACAGACAGACAGCTGGAAGGAAATAGGGAGAGGGAACGCACTGGGAAGAGACACGGGGGTCATCGCACTTGGGTCAGGTGAGGCACGCACAGGGCTCCCCGGCGGGGGAACCGACGGCAGGAGGAAGGGGTGGTGGGCTCGCAGTGGCGGCACTGGGCTCACATGGCACCTGTCCCCTTCTCCCCCAGCCGGGCAGAAGCCACTCACCCTCCACAGAGCCGCAGCGCCGCACCTTCTCCACCAGCCCCAGCAGCAGGTAGTGGGTGCGGAAAGCCCGGCTGGGGAACTCACGGCGGCACTGGGGGCAGGAGGGCACGCGGGTGCAGCTCTCCCAGTAGCCCTGGATGCAGGCCTTGCAGAAGTGGTGCATGCAGTCCAGCATGACGGGC